ATAGTAAGTGCATATGCATTGCATGAAAGTAATACTTTTTAATAATGCTTAGTCTCTGATATCATGAAAATAGAGTCTCTCTGTAAGATTCATTTTTATCAGAAGTCAGAGAATCTTATATTTCTCAAGATTATCTTCACCTATCTTATCTGTGAAATTGATGAAGAGAATCATTGATTTCAGTGTTCTGTTCTTGATATTATTCAAGTAGCAGCAGAGTTCACCCTGACTAGACTGACTGCTGAGATCATGAATTTCACATTTGATCTCATTTGATCTGGTCTCATACATTTCTTAGTGTGAATCCCGCTGGGACTAGCTATCAAAAAAACATGTAAAGTGACTATATATCAGATCTTAAAATGAAACCATGACTTGGAAAAAATGAGAAAGTGATCTCATTTGATCTCATTTAGTCTCATTCTTGATATAAAGTTACTATTTTTAGACATTTTAAGGTTTTTTTTAGACTATTTTTAATTTTTTAAAAAGTAACACTTTTTGATAACACTCAAATGAGATTTAAAGTCATTTAAAGCAATAAAAATAATTTAAATTGAGAAGTGGAAATCATAGTCTCATTTGAAAAATGTGATAAGAGTAGACAGTAAGTTTCACTGAGACAGTATAAGACTACTATCTAATGATAAAACTGTGTAATGAGATCAGTTAAATTGATAATGAAACTATCAAAAAATCTGATTCTGATCTCAGACACAGTCACACAGTCAGTCTAACTCTGATCACACTTTTTAAGTGTATATTTTCTAAATATTCACATTTATACAGATATATACTGATTATTTATTAGATAATGTTAAGACAATGACTCATTATGACTGTGTTACTCTCACTGTGAGAGATACACAGTTTATAATAAATATTGTAAAGACTCTGAGAAGTTATTTTAAAGATACTGTGACTCTGTGATCTTGATTTTTTTTTATTTTTTTTATTTTTTTATTTTTCTTTTATTTTTTTTGTTCATTCTGATTTTTTCTTGTTTTTGTTTTATTTTTTATTTTTTATTTTTTTTTGTATTTTATATTTTTTTTATAATTAAAATTATATGAATTATGATCTGTATTTAGAAAAGTAATTATATTTAGTAACACTCTCTATTGAATTTTTAACAAATGAGCACTATGTTATGATATTATATAAGTGAGAAGTGATTTCATAGTCTCATTTAATGTCATTCTCAATAATGAAATCAGAATGAAAATGTGACTAAGAATTCAAATATATTCTTTATTCAAGACTAGATTTTTATTTGAAAAGTGAATCTGAAATCTTTAATATTTGAAATAACATGATTTGAGATCAATGTAATGAACACAAATCATAATCAGAAGTAATGCTTTTAGACAATGTGATAACTGTAAAGTTTAATTCTGATCTCAGACATGATCACACAGTCAGTCTAAATGTAATATGATTGATATGAACAGATACTGATTCATTCTTTAAACAAGAAGATGCTGATCTTTCTCTTGAGTATGAAGACACATAGATTGATTAGTAGTTGAAAGTAATGTATTCTGATCAGTTACAGTTGATGCACACTTCACATTGACATTGATCAGTGACTTCTTCAGAAGTGATTTCAGAGACTCAGAAGCCTGTTCAAACAGTGAAAACTCTTGCTTATACATAGACATTTAAATCTATTCAGTTCATGGCCTCTGCATCATTGTTCTTCAGTGTGAGTGTATAAGTGACTGAGATGTAATATCTTCTGTCACTGTTCTGTATACTCTTGAGCTTGATAAGATGATCATTCAATGTTCAGAGCTGTATACAGAAGTCTTCATAAGTTAAGTCTTCATCTGCACTTATAAGAGTCTGTAAGAGTTTGAAAGTCAATATCTTCTTAAGTATGCTAATCTTCATTTAATTCTCTCAAGACTGATCATCTGCTTCTAGAATCTTGATATTGAAGTCAGAAATGAATGTTATAAGAGAAGTGTTTCTCTGTCAGACACTCTGTAATCAATCTAATACTTTCTATTATATGACAGTGTCTTGAAACAGAATATCAAAATATCTCATGATATTGTCAGATATTTGCAATGCTGATTCACATGCTTTCATTCATGAATAAAACTTCTGTTTCACACAATCTTTCAATCATTCATTAATATATCAATCTTGATTGATTAATAAACTGATGAAATCTTTATCTATATTCAGTTTCACAAGCATTTTCATTCTTTATAATGAGTAGAGAGTGAGATCAGAAGTATTAAAATATACAGAAGTATCTAAGTGTTCTTTCAGTGCTTTTATATTCAATTCTGCAGATGTTGAAATCATGTAGATTAATCATTGAATCTCTTCATATTAAAGTTATTGAGTTGCATGCATGTCTGCTATCTATTGCTATTATAATTTCAACATCACTTGAAGTCACTGTGACATTGCATCTATACTTGTGTTTGAGAGTTTCATATTATTATTAGATATAATTATATTGATCATCAGATGTATAATTGTATTCTTATATATCTGAGTGTCAGAACTCTCAGATCTTTCACTGATATTCTCTTATAAGATCTTTAGTACAGAGTCAGAGTAACTGATAAGCAAGCTTCTATCTGAGAACTCAGTGTTCACTTAACTGTGTTTTCTCTTTCTTACATATCATTACATGTTCAGATATCTCTCAATGAATAATTATTTCTGATAAGAAGATAATGTGTGAATAATTATTTTCTAATAAGAAGATAATGAACATTTTTATAGTGTAAGAGACCTACATTGAATAGATCAGTATAATATTGATAGATCTTATATAACAAAGATAAAAACATTAGAGAAGAAAAGAAAGAGAAAGTGTGAGAATCAGTGATCAAGATGAATATTTATACATGTATGTGATGATGTACATGATGAAGCTTCAGAGTGAAAGAATATACACATGTTTGTAGCAGCTGAGGATCAGTGATTGGGAATGACTGAGAATTGAAGTGTACACTACGCGTGTTCATAGCGGCTGAGGATCAGTGATTGAGAATGACTGAGAATCAGAGTGTACGCTACGCGCGTTCATAGCAGCTGTGGATCAGCGATCAGGAATGAAAGAATCTATGAAGTGTAATGAAATAGTCTATATAATTGATCAGGCGCAGCCCGCCACATGTATAAACTATACTCTGAGAGTTATAAAGATGAGCTTAAATTATATAATCAGAGAAAGAGTCTCTTCTTCATTTTTATTAATTAACTTTGAAAATGAACTGAATTGAAATTCATGACAATGAATTGACTGATTCAACTGTAAAAAAGAGTGCAGAATTGTGATTCAAAGATTGCTTAACTCAGTATACAATTACAGGTGTACATCAGCTTCTTATATATTGTATACTAAATTAATTAGTGGTCACTATGATCTCTTTACACTCATAAGCAAGTTCAGAAGCAGCTATGTTATTATCTGATAATTGTACATTCTTTCAAATCACATTCTCTCTCACTAGATTCAGTCACACTCATATAATCATGTTATACATTCTAGCTTCATGTGAATTAGCTCATCACTAGTATTTCATGATTGTATAATCTATCTCTGATTCAGCTAGTATTTTGTGTACACTCTTACAAAGAAACTTTCACTATATTATATCACTCATTCACTAACTTTTCTCATTCTTGAATTATTGTTCTTCATCATTATCATCATTGAATATTATTATCTTATCTATAATTACTGTCTCTTCTTCTGTTCAATATCTTCTATCTGTTTATCTATCACATTGTATGTGTTTCTGGCAATGATCTCTTGTTCTCATAATAAGTGTTATTATAGTACTCATATCAGACAGTTCATTAGCAGTAAGTGTACTATGTTGTGAAATGTGACTGAACTTGTTTATCTTCTAATAATTGTCAGAATGTATTATCATGAATAATATATCTTCTTCATCTTCTTATATACTCTTGACTGTTTTTCTTCTCAGTGACTTCTAATCATGTTTTCTGATATGATTTTATATAAATGCAGATGCTGATGTTTATTTTTATTTATGTAGAATTTTCATGCATAGATTCATATCTGCTGATGATAGTGAATTCAATGTTAAATCATTGATTGAGAACTTGAAGAACATAATAATGAAGAAATTATCTGTGTTATATATGACTAAGTCTTCTACATCTCTTTCTGCCTCTTCTATCACTGTCTCTCAATCTTCTACACCTGCTTCTGTGTCTGATTCTCTCACTTCTGCTATCTCTGTTTCTGTAACTCTTACTTCTGCTACTTCTGCTCTCTCTGATTTTACTATCTCTGCTTTTGTTATCAGCTCTTCTCATTTCAAGAAGATGTTGTGTAGACTTAATAAATCATATTTATCAGTATATATACTCCTGCCTTTCTTACTGACTTCTAGAATAATTTATTATATAAAGACTGTATATAACATGACTATCTGAAGCTTGATCACAGACACTGATTATTACATTTGTTTTAAATATTCATAATAAGACAATTATTTATTCATATCAGAGAATCACTCTCTCTCTTAACAGTGTTGAAATTGTAAGTCTTTTTCTTTTTCATCTTTTCTTTCTAATGCTGATTTTTCTGTTCTTAGAGAAAATTATTATGAGTTTTACTGTGTATGAAGTTATGATATTCACAGATATCAAGAAACTTTTTATAACTGTTAAATTCAATATTGCAGATACATCTGCTTTAATAAATATCTTCAGAATAATTGATCTGTAACTGTGTCATGCTTACTCACTCTCTGTAGTGAGTGCATCACAGTGTACAGAAAACCACACTGTAAAGAAAATATTTTGAATATAGTAATCTTCAAAAATTAATTAATAATCACCATCACATCTATCTATAATATAAAGATTATCTATATACTCATTAGAAGGTGTAGAATCCACTGTAAGTTGAGATTCTATAGAATTATCTTATTGTGGTTGAGTGGCTGTAGATTTTGTAGGTTTGATTCCAATCAATCAAAGAGTCTTATTGAATGTCTTTTTCATCTCATCTGCTCTACAGGTCGCGATCTTGCAATTGGCATTCTTAATAGTGAGGACTCCACCTACTTGCACCTGCCTGCGGGAGGATTTGACGACTCAATGTCTATTTGCTTGATAATGATCTGCAAGTTCACCCTCATGATGCGCGTTCAATTCCGCCTGGACCATGCTATCCTTGAAGATCTTGTTCAACCGCCTTGTCAAACCAGGTGTAAGGGTATCCTTCACATCTTCTAAGGCCTTGGCTGCTGCATTGATTTGGTGATGTAGTTTTGCAACTGTCTCTGAGAAGGTTAATTGCAAGAAGACAGTTGACAGTTGATCTGCAGGTGGTGGGATAAAGTGATCACATACATCATCATCATCATTGTATATATTGAGATCTGGGGCATCATTTTGGATTCATGGGTTTTTGCTTGACTTGTTTTTAATCTGACAGGCATTTGATGAATTGATATGTTCACATCTTGCTTACTGTGAGAGGTGCAGTCTCTGAATCTGTATGATGCTGTCTCAACATGTGGTTCACGGCAGCTTCAATATGCTTGATGATGGATGGGCAAAAATTAATGTTCAATTGATGAATCCATATCTTAATTGCCTCTTCCTGGCTGTCATTCAATGCTCAATTCAGTGAAACCCTCATAGTCCTTGATTTCTTCCCATTGATTCTCTCATACAAGGTGGCATATGAGACTTTGAATTCTCGCGACAGAGATGTGATTTTTAATTTTGAATTACTTTTGTACGCGTCAACAGCTCTTTGCAACTGCTTCTCAGTGTAATTAGAAGATTTAGACATGGTTATAATTAATGATGATTATTTGAAGATGAAGAATGAAGATATTAAAAATATTTTCTTTATGATGTGATTTTCTGTATGCTGTGGCGCACTCACTACAGAGAGTGAGTAAGCATGGCACAATTATTAATCTATTATCTAGTATTTATCATCTGACTTTGTGATACAGGTGAAGAATATTCATGTTTTCAGAAACAGAAATACAGATATTGTGCTCTTTTACACTTATAAGTGTGAGACTTATACATCTTATCTGAGATGTTATTGTGAAAATGAGCTGTTTATATACTGTATTCTACTTTCTGCATTTCTCTGTATCTCTCTCTCTCTTTCTGAGAAGTCTCATATGTGTTGTAATTACATGTATAACTTTAAGATCAGTGAGTGTTTATTCAGTAATGTTCTCATCTCTGATTTTATAATTTTTATATGCTAACAATGATTCTTAGTTACTCTGATATCAGAGATCATTCTAATTGAAGATGATAATACTACTGAGCTACTTTCTTCTGTTCTTAAGCTTCTCTTATTACTTTCTCTTTCTTCTCTGTGAGAAAGATTATATATACACTGAGTTGTAAGTGTTCAGTTCTGAGTGACTCTCACTGTTATTTGTCTGATTCTGTGTCTTCTTCTTCTTCTTTCATTTCTTCTGTCTCTATTCTTCCTGCTCTGACTTCTGATTCTGTAAGTCTTATACTCTTCTTCAATTTTTCTACATGTACATGTACACATTTCTATATTGACATTTCAGTCAATCTTGTGATAAATGACATTAATGTTGTATACAGAGTGATAGAGAAATCAGAGATATGTACAGTATTATTACAAGAGTGACTTACAGCTCTTAAATTTCTTACAGATCTTGAGTTTTGAGATTTCCTTTATTTTTGATATTTTTCAGATGGTGTGATGTTGGAATAGATTAAATATATAATGTATAAAAATGAATGAGATGTATATGATAACATTTGTCTTTTACAGCTGACTCTTACAGTTAGTAATTAATTCATTATCTCTTTTCTTTTCTTACACTTTTTCTTTATCTGCTAGTCACTACTCTTATACAATCTCTATATAATACAGTATTGAGTGACTAGATTCAGCAGCTTTCATCTTTTATAATTCTGTCTTGTATATTATACTATCTCTCTTCACCTGTTTAGATTACTATAGTGAAGAACTAATTGAAACTAATCTCATCTGATCTCTGAGTGTTCTCAGAGATTAAGATAACTTAATCTTACATATCTGTGAATATTTCATATAGTTCATTCTCTGTGATCTCTGTAATTGAACTGATGTAAACAGTTAAATTTAACTCTGAATTTCTTTTTCTTCTGCAATCTGATTCATATGTAAGTCTGCTGCTTTAAGACTGCTCTTTACTGTGTTACATCTACTATCTACAGCACATTATTATACAACTGACTACAGTCTTATCACTTATTGAAGTGTGATATTCATCTAATTTCTTCTTTACTTCTCATTCTTTTCTTATAATTATGAAAAGATTGAAATAAGTGAGATTATCTGATTTGTAAGCATCTATAATTTCTCTTACTTTATGAGACTTTTCAATTATAAGCTTCTTCTTTTTCAACACTGATAATAGTGCTCTTCTTTTTCAACACTGATAATAGTGCTGTGAATAATTATAATCTGCTCAGATCTTGTATCTTTATCTTTATAAGTTATGAATCATTTATTAAGTTATGTAAGATCTGTCTCTCTAGTTCTTTCAATGCATATGTTCTCAGAGAATGTGATTTGAGTATTTTATATAACTCAAACTATCTAGATTGAAACTTCTCAGAACTCTCATTATATATAAGAACTCATGTTTTTATCTTGAGACTTGATTTCTTAACTAGTGAGTCTCATATTCTTTTCAATTGAATTGCTCAGTTCAGAAGTAACTTGTTAGCTTTTGCATGTGTATAACTGATCTCTTTCAATCTTAGTTCTACATCTGCAACTGTTGTGTCTGTAACTGCTGTTTTCTCTCTCATCTTTTCTGAAGCATTCTCTGAAATGCGCGGATGCAATTTATACAACAGGTAGAATGATAAATGCTTGAAGACTGCATACTGCTGAATTCATGTGACTAATAGCATCTGACTGAGATATTCATCTCATAATCTCATAGACTTGTTCACTAGATATTTCATCAGCATGTTGTTCAAGATTTCATTCAAGTGTTCTGTCTTTCTATTTATTCATGAATGATATAATGTTGTTCTATAATATCTTGTCTGTAACTGATTCATGAAATGCCTCATTACTTCTTCTACAAGATTCACATCATTATCAGTTAGAATCTCTCATGATATTTCATAGTTGATATAGATCTTATTATATAGAAACTTCATTATCATCTTCTCTATCATCTCTGAAACTGCTTTCACAACTGATCAGTCAGTAGCATAATTAATAGCAGTGATTATTCATCAATTTTCATTTGATGTTCACAGTAATATATCTATGAGATTTATCTCTTATCATTTGAACAGTTATATCATACACTTTATCTGATATTATACTTTCTCACATTCTAACTCTTTCTTAGATTCTTTTGTGATCTGATAATTCAGACACTCATAAGTATATATCTGAATGTTCTCAGTCATGCTTGATCAGTATACTCTTGATTTGAGTACACTTATGAGTTCAGAGCTTTCTAAGTGACTGAATTCCTTATGCATGTGAGCTATCAAGTCACATCTAAATAAAGATTCTAGATAGAGAGCTTTCACATATTCTAGATCACAGTAAAGCATAACATCATTTTTCAATTTTCTCAGTTTGAAGTTCAGAAGTATCTCTTCTACTACTCTCATAAGATGCTTATTATCTGACATCTTGTCATTCTTTAAGTAAGAGATTATAATGTTCACTTATTCTGATTTCTTACATCTTCTCAGTGTGTTTAATATAAACTTCTCTTATATCTAGTTCATAGAACTCTCACTCATGAAATTAAGTCTATAACTGATTACATCAGATACTACAGTGTCTGATCTCTTTCAGTATTTAATATGAAGATTATACACTTAAAACTCTGAGATTCAATGTACTAAGTATTTGAAAGATTTTATTATTAATTATAGATAGATGAGACTTTTATAATCTGTGATCACTGTTGTCATATATCTGTTATTAATATATCTATCTTATAATATCAGCAGATACTTGATTACTAGTAATTTCTTTTCATACACTGAGTAATTGAGCTCAGCATCTGATAGTTTTCTATCATTATATATTACTAAGTGCAGCTTGCTATTCTTACTTATCTGTAGAAAAATGTCTCTGATAGCTTATTCAGATATATCTGTCTCAATATAGAAAGATTTATCACAATCTGATTGAATAAATACTAAGAATATTATTACATATTTTCTCAGTATAAGAAAAGTCTCTTCATACACAGTATTTCAGATGATTGAATAAAACTTCTTCTTTCACAGATTTATATTCATTTCTCTTAAGAGATCTGAGAGTGATGCAGATATTTGTATGAAATTCTTGATAAATCTGCAGTAATATGAGATCAATTCAAGAAACTGTTATATATAATGTATATTTCTCAGTCACAGTTAATTTACTATAACATTCAATTTCTCTGAAATAAAGTGTATACAGTCATCACTCACTATATATTCTATAAACTTCAACTCTTCTATTTTAAACACACACTTGATTAATTTGATATAGAGCTTATACTCTGTCAGAGTTATAAGTACTTCATTGAGATGCTTTAGATATTTATTGTATAAGTTTGAAAAGACTAGAATATCATTGAGATATATGAAATATGAGATTTCATTCTATTTATAAAGAATTGTATTCATCATTATTTAGAAGATGACAGATACATTTATCAGATTAAATAATATAATCAGAAATTTGAACTTCTCTCATTATATATTAAATACAGTTCACAGAACTAACAGTTTATCTACACAGATCTATCAGTATTCTGAAAGAAGATTAATCTTTGATAGATATCAGATATTTTCAACTGTATTCAACTGTTGTTGAATCTATGATAATGAATATTCATTCTTGATTATAAGCTTATTAAGTGCTTAATAATTAATACACATTTATCACTTCTCACTCATCTTTTTTATAAATAGAACTGAAAAGCCTCATATACTTGATGAGAATTGTATAAGATCATGTTCTAGAAGATCTGTGATCTGATACTTCTGTTCTTTAAGATATGTTTATGACAGAGAGTATGCATTCTGATTGACTGATTTTACATTCTCTATGTCAATCTCATATACAAATTCTTGTTTCAGCAGCAATTCTGATGAAAGATCTGTTCAGAAGATCTTCTGATACTTCTTCAGAAGCTTCTTCATACACTTGTTCTTCTGTATATTCTTTATCTTGATTTTCTCTGCTTCTGAGTTCTGTATGATATATAGAATGCTTTCAGATGAGATCTTGTAAATCATTCTCTTTGCTTATTGATATATAAGCAGATTTAATTCTTCTATATTAGAGATGTGAAATGTTCTTCTCATATCAGTTGATAGAATTATATGAATCATTTTCTTTCTATTGATCAACTGTATATAATATATATATCATTGAATCTGCAGATTGAATCTTTGAAATCAATTGAGTCTGAGAATAAGATTGTATTTCACATTCTGCAGCTCTCACACTCAAATATAGCAAGATTATTCTCTGAAGTATAAGAGAACTCTTACTCTTGCAGATAATATTAAATATTAGTTATTAGATAATCTTATATATTGAGAATTCTTCACTCAGTGAACTTCTTTCAGTCTTTGAATTATATAATTATTAATATATTATAGAAGCTTCTATATCTGCTAACACTTTTACAGCTATCTCTTAATTCTTACTCAAATGTCTCTTATATATTAACATTTCAGATCTCAAGATATTGAGATAAGTATTCACTTCATTCTTACCTGCATCTCAGTCAGAAGCCTGCTTTCTCTTGATATTTACAGAAT